CACCATCACCACCACCACCACCATCACCATCACCACCACCACCACTATCACCATCATCATCATCACCACCACCATTTTCTCCTCCTCGCTCTTCATTGTCCTCTTCCCTCATCTCCATGGTGCCATCAGACACCAGCATTAGGAAGGCTTTGATTGGCATTCCAGGGAGACTGGGGTGGGGACTTGGGCAGAAAGAAACCAGGGCAGTGACATTTCAGGTGAGACCAAAATGAAGTCAGAGAGAGAGACGTGCAGGGAAGGTGCGGAGGCGCTGTGGCAGGACTGAGCCTGGTGAGTCGGAGGCTCAGGGAGGGGCCGTGTGGCTGGCGCAGAGGGAAGGGGAGGCAGGGAGGGGAGGCAGGTGGGTCAGGAGGCAGAGGAAAACAGCGGCCGTACCTGCAGGGCCGGGAGACCAGATGCTTCCCCTTGGGGCAGAGCCAGGGAGCCCAGCTCCTGCAGAGCAGCCTGCGCAGGCCCCGACTCTGCAGCCCGGCAGGAGACAGCACAGGCCTGGGATAGAAACCGCCCGAGGCACAGATAGGCAGATGCCGAGGGAGCCGCAGTCAGCAGTGCCTGTCCCCTCCCGGGAGAGGCCCCTGCACTCGCCGCCACAGCTCCAGCCAAGGAGGGTGACCCAGGAAAACCGCCCCAGAGGGAGTGGGAGGGGAAGGACCTCACTCCCCCCACCCCCGGGCCAGGGCCACTCCAGCGGGTGGTGTGCGGCGCCCTCTCCTCCCTCCCGTGTCCCGCCGTGCTCATCCCACAGGGGTGGCAGCGGGCGGCAGGGCGTCTGCTCAGGTGCTCATCCAGCTGCCCAAATACAGCTTCATTTGGACAGTTCGTTGTCCCCAGGAGCAGTGCCCTGTTGTAACTGATGGCAACCGGGTGGTCTTCCTCCCCAGAGCTCTGCCGTGCCCTCCCAGGCACGTAGCCCCCAGCGTTCCACACTGACAACTGAATCTAACCACTGATTGCGTGATTGATCCCCAAATGATGGACTTTTAAGGTAGATCCTTCTCTCCCCGCCACCCCGTTAAGGAGGTCTCAGCTGACTTCTGCTGTTGGTCCAGAGAAACCTCTCCACTCCACGTACTGGACCGAGCCCATGTGGATGGACACCTAGATCAAGTCATCCATTTTTGCCTGTCAGTACCTGCCCACCTTCCTGCCCATCCTGGCACAGACTAGGATTTATCTTCACAATCCCCTATTGAGGGACACTTAGGTTGGTTCCACTTCTTCACTGTTTCAAGAACACTGCAGAGAGCCCGCCTGTGTGTGCCACTGTCCTGGGCTGACCTTTCTGCAGGGTGCACGGGTGTGGCTGAAGCCCTGTGTCCGTCTTCTGGGGTGACCATAACCGATTACCAGGAACTGGGTGGCTTTAAGACAACAGAGACTTATCCCCTCTCAATAGGCCCTTGGTGTCCCTTGGCTTATAGATGCATCACTCCGTATGTGTCCTTGTCACTGTCACATGGCTGTCTCCGTATTTGCGTTTTTTTTTTTTTTTTTTTTTTTTTAGTAGCAGACCTTGAAGCCAGCGGCACTGGCCCTGGCTGAGCTGCGCCCCGGCCCTGGGGTCTCTGTGTCAAGGGGTCCTGCTCAGGTGCACCCCGCCTGCCTCGGCTCCCCACTCACCAGGTGGCAGGGACTCTTGCACACGCCAGCCGCCGGCTTGGGCCCTGGTCCAGCCCCTGCCCAGGCGGCCCTCCCCAGCTCAGCGTTAGAAGCCGGGAAGCCACTGCCCTCGTGTACAGTAGGTCAGGTTCTGGCCTGTCCCAGAGCCAGGTCTGAAGGGACAGGACGAGGGGAAGTGGGGGAAGCCTGGGGCTTCAGCGTCTCAGATGCCAAACACAGCCACCTGGCAGCTGGGCAGAAGAGGCGGGTGGTGCGGGCGGCTGCCATCTGGCTGTTCCTGCCACCCGACCCCCTCTCAACCCCTGGGAAGGGTGGGCAGCCGGCGGTCAGCGAGCAGCAGGGGCCAGCAGGCTGCCCAGACGACAAGGAGGGCGCCCCCTCCGGGGCCTGCCGGGGCCTGGGCCTCCTGGCCATCACATTCCGCACCATCCGGCCCCGAGACCCCCCTCATTTCCACCTTCACGCCCGGCCTGCACTGCGCTCTGCCGGCCTCCCGCTCTGCCGGCCTCTGCCCAGCCGTCCTCCAGCCGCAGCACCGAGGGTCCTGGAGCTGCCTGCTGAAGGCTTGGGCCAGGCCAAGGGGGGAGGCTGGCCCCTCCAAGCCCCAGGAAGACCCCTGCCTCTCCCAGCCTCCGGGGGTTCCAGGCGTCCCTGGCTGCGGCCGCGTCACTCCAGCCTGTCCCCATCTTCTTGTGGCGTTCTCCCCTCTGTGTTACCTGTGTCCACATTCCCCTCTCGTTGAAGGACACAGTCACTGGACAGAGGCCTGCCCGCCCCGTGTGGCCTCCCCAACCCTTCACACCCAGAGTCCCCACCTCCGAGCAAGGCCCCCCAAGACACCCAGAGCAAGACTCCAACTTTGAGTCTCGCTCAAGGGTCCCCTTTCCTGGCCTGGAGTCACCCCCTCTCACAATCCTGGTCATCCGTCGGCCGACTCCCGACTCATGGAGGCCCGGCCCTTGCTTCCTGTGAAGCACTGCTGCTTGTCCTGCAGGGTGTGTCCAGCTCAGGCCCAGCTTGGGGAGGGCCGAGGGGCGCCTGGAGGACACAGTGGGCCGGCATTAACACAAGTGGAAGGGTCCCGTGCCCCCTCCCGTGGATGTGCACCCCAGGACGCAGGAGCCACGTCTGGCTTATGCACCACTGAACTCGAGCCTGTATACAACAGGCACTCCGTAAATGCTTCGTTCTGTGTATTTGCAGTGCTGGGGATCCAACCCAGGCAAGCACCCTACCACTGAGGGACACCCCAGCCCCGATGAATGTCTTTATAAACAAAAGTACTGACCTGAATACGACTCCCCTCCAGGTGAGAGGGCCTTTCCTGCAGTGTTCCTCCTGCGGTGACCGTCACATAGCACAAAAGTTCCCCAGTGCGTCCTGGACACTGCACCACCCCAGAAGGAAGCTCAGGCCGTGGGGAACCGCCAGTCCCTCCCCAGCCCCAGCCCCCTGGGAATCCACACTCTGTCTCTGGCTCAGCCTGTTTGGGACGTTTCCAGCTAATAGGGTCACACACTCCTTTGGGAGTGGGTCCTCTGTTGTGTGGGTCCTTGTTGCTGAGCACGAGGTCCTTGAGGGCCATCCACGCTGCGGGGTGTGTCGGGCCTCGCTGCTGCTCCAGGCAGAATCGTGCTGCAGTCTGTGCAGGGCCACGCTGTGTGCCCATTCCTGCACCCGTGGACACCTGACTGTCCCCACCTATTAGCCATGCTGTGTCAGTGAAATTTGTGCTCGGGTCTCGGGACACGTGCCCTCCTCCTGGGTGCAGATCCCCAGGAGTGGAGTGCGGCCCACACAGTGGGCAGCAGCTCCCGGGGCCACCTGGGATGGGCAGCCGCTTCCGGGGCCACCTGGGGTGGGCAGCCGCTTCCGGGGCCACCTGGGGTGGGCAGCCGCTTCCGGGGCCACCAGGGGTGAGCACCCGCAAGGTGCTGACGCTGCCCCCCGCCCGCCCGCAGGTGCGCTTGAGGATGCTGGCGCGGCCCTAGGCCCAGGCTCCGCACCATGACCTGCTGGCTGCGCGTGCTGAGCCTGCACCTGCTGCTGCTGCCCACGGCGCCGCCCCCGGCCGGGGGCTGCCCGGCCCGCTGCGAGTGTGCCGCCCAGACGCGCGCCGTGGCCTGCGCGCGCCGCCGCCTGACCGCCGTGCCCGACGGCATCCCGGCCGAGACGCGCCTGCTGGAGCTCAGCCGCAATCGCATCCGCTGCCTGAACCCCGGGGACCTGGCCGCGCTGCCCGAGCTGGAGGAGCTGGACCTGAGCCAGAACGTCATCGCGCACGTGGAGCCCGGCGCCTTTGCCAACCTGCCACGCCTGCGCGTCCTGCGCCTGCGCGGCAACCAGCTGAAGCTCATCCCGCCCGGGGTCTTCACGCGCCTGGACAACCTCACGCTGCTGGACCTGAGCGAGAACAAGCTGGTCATCCTGCTGGACTACACCTTCCAGGACCTGCACAGCCTCCGAAGGCTGGAGGTGGGCGACAACGACCTGGTGTTCATCTCGCGCCGGGCCTTCGCGGGGCTGCTGGCCCTGGAGGAGCTGACCCTGGAGCGCTGCAACCTCACGGCACTGTCCGGAGAGTCGCTGGGCCATCTGCGGGGCCTGGGCGCCCTGCGGCTGCGACACCTGGCCATCGCCGCCCTGGAGGACCAGAACTTCCGGAAGCTTCCGGGGCTGCTGCACCTGGAGATCGACAACTGGCCGCTGCTGGAGGAGGTGGCCGCGGGCAGCCTGCAGGGCCTCAACCTGACCTCGCTGTCCGTCACCCACACCAACATCACCGCGGTGCCGGCCGCCGCGCTGCGACACCAGGCGCACCTGACCTGCCTCAACCTGTCCCACAACCCCATCAGCACCGTGCCGCGCGGGTCCTTTCGGGACCTGGTCCGCCTGCGGGAGCTGCACCTGGCCGGGGCGCTGCTGGCCGTGGTGGAGCCGCAGGCCTTCCTGGGCCTGCGACAGATCCGCCTGCTGAACCTGTCCAACAACCTGCTGTCCACGCTGGAGGAGAGCACCTTCCACTCGGTCAACACGCTGGAGACGCTGCGCGTGGACGGGAACCCGCTGGCCTGTGACTGTCGCCTGCTCTGGATCGTGCAGCGCCGCAAGACCCTCAACTTCGACGGGCGCCTGCCGGCCTGCGCCACCCCCGCCGAGGTGCGCGGCGACGCGCTGCGCGACCTGCCCGACTCGGTGCTCTTCGAGTACTTCGTCTGCCGCAAGCCCAAGATTCGCGAGCGCCGGCTGCAGCACGTCTCCGCCACCGCGGGCGACGACGTCCGCTTCCTCTGCCGCGCGGAGGGCGAGCCGGCGCCCACCGTGGCCTGGGTGACGCCGCAGCACCGCGCGGTGACGGCCACCAGCGCTGGCCGGGCGCGCGTGCTGCCCGGGGGCACGCTGGAGATCCTGGACACGCGGCCGCAGGACAGCGGCACCTACACGTGCGTGGCCAGCAACGCCGGCGGCAACGACACCTACTTCGCCACGCTGACGGTGCAGCCCGCGCCGGCCACCAACCGGACCCTGGGCGAGGGCCGCAACGAGACGCAGGTGGCCGCGCGCTTCCCGCTGGACCTCACGGCCATCCTGGTGTCCACCGCCATGGGGTGCATCACCTTCCTGGGCGTGGTGCTCTTCTGCTTCCTGTTGCTCTTCGTGTGGAGCCGCGGCCGCGGGCAGCACAAGAACCACTTCTCGGTGGAGTACTCCTTCCGCAAGGCGGACGGGCCAGCGGCGGCCGCGGGCCAGGGCGGAGCCCGCAAGTTCAACATGAAGATGATTTGAGGGGCGCTGGAAGCCCTGGGCCCAGTTAGGGAAGCCCGATCCTGGTCAGATTACCAGACTGATTTCCACCTATGCATTTTCCAAAGGGGGAAGGGGAAACTGCAAGTCGGCTAACTGGCAGAACTTCCCCTTTTTTGTAGACACCCAACCACAGACTGTTTTTCATCAGAAAGCATCTTTTGCACTTTCTCAAGTGTTTTCTCAAGGTTACAACCTATCTTCCTGCCCCTGCCAAGGTCCCTAGGCTGGGGGTGGGGGTGAGTGGAGGGACGGATTGCTGGGCGGCTCAGAGGCCCCCAGGGTCCCTGTGGCCTGCAGTTCACAACCAGGAGGCCCATGATGCTGCCCAGGGCTCGGCCCTCCCCGTCCCTGCCCACACAGCTCCCACATCTGGGGAGACAGTCTACAGACGCCCCACAGAAGGGACGGCCCCCAGGAACCCGTCCCCAGAAAGTCAATGCTGCGCACACCCAGAGACACACACTCACACCTGGGGCCGGCACGCTGCTTGCAAGTGGGACACCTCACGCCCACTCCCAGCCCCCACCAGGACCCGCGGGCTGCCCCCAGGAGAAGCCAGGTCCCCAGCTTCCTCCACGGCCCTCACGGCTGGCCCGGCCTCCCTGGCCTGGCCCAGCCCAGGGGTCCCTCTAGGCAGGCAAGCTGGACGGGTCATCCACCCTGAGAGCCTTGGACCCCTGGGCCAGCTCAGACCAGCCCCAGATGTCCCCCAGCGCCTGGCCCCTGCTGACCCCTGCTCTGGGGGCTGGAGCAGGGTCAGGGCTGCACCCCCAGGGCAGGAGCAGGCTGAGCCAGGCTTCCTGCCCAGGAGGCCAGCCCCGCTCACCAGGGGGCAGCAGGGGACAGAGGTGCAGGGGGCCGAGGGCCCGGTTGGGTGTCCCAGGCAGATGGTGGTCTGGTAAAGAAAGCCCAGACCAGCGTCCCCTGCTCTGCGAGGGGTGGGCTCCGGTCCCGGGGTCAGCATGGGAGACTCCTGGGAAGGATCCAGACCCCAGACAGGACCCGCCCATGACCTGACCCACCCAGCTGCGACCCGCCGTCCGCCTCCACCAGCGGACAGTTGGGGCCCTGAGGAAGGGCACGGGAGCCCGCAGGCTGGCCTGGGGTTCCAGAGGTCGCGTCCATGTGAGCTCCCAGCTGGACTGAGGACCACCCAGGCCCTCGGTGTCCTCTGTGAGTGGCCTGGGCACCCCCGTCCGGGCCTGCGGAAGGGCTTGGTGGCTTTACTTGGATCCGGGATCTGGGGTCAGGAATCTCGCAGGGAGACGGCCAGCCGGCCATGCGCCCAGGGGTCAGGCGAGCCTGGGGGATGCGGCCCAATCTCCCCGGGGCTGGGACTGGGCCTGTGGGAGCCTGGCCCTGCCCGTGGTGGACCAGAAGCAGGTGAGCGCTGCCCTGGACGGTGGCCAGGTCCGCTCTGTCCCCCAGCCTCCTCCTGACCTGGGCCGCCATGACCACACTGAGGCCCTCAAGATGACATCCAAGTGCCTTCAGCCTCCTCGAGACAGGAGGGCGCCGCCCCGGGCCACAGGGCGGCAGGGCACGGTCTCCGCCCCCTCTCCCCGTCCCAGCAGGTGCCACCGTCCCCCCTGCTGTATGTGACTGGACCCAATAAAACTGAGACGGGGTTAACCACAAGTTCACGTTGTTCCCTGGGAGGAGCAGGGCGGGAGGCTGGGGGAGGAGGCTCCCAGGACCCAGAGAGGCTGTCACGGAGGTCACACATGGACACCCAGGGCTGCCCGCCCTCCCCCATCCCCACGCCTGCCCCTCCTCCCCTCCCTGGGCGCAGGACGGTCCCTCGGTCTCTTCATGTTCTTCCTCCCGTTGTTTGTGTGGGTCCCCTGAGAGGTTTGCCTGAGGTTCCCGGGAGGCTGCTGCTGTGTGCCCCAGGGCGAGCTTCGGCCCTCTCTGTGCCTTGGTGCTCAGGGCTAGTAACCCTGTTTTCCTGGATATGCAGGATGAAGCCTTCAGGCTCCCTCCCCTCTCACCACCTTAGGATCCGCGCCTTAAGACCCAGCAAATGGGGGCCGGGCTGGGGCTCAGCGGCAGAGCGCTCACCTGGCACGTGTGAGGCCCTGGGTTTGATTCTTAGCTCCACATAAAGATGAAGACATTGTATCCACCTAAAACTAGAAAATAAATTCTAAAACAAGGCAGAACGGGATGACACCAGTGGGTGGCCCACACCTGCCCTCCCAGCAGCTCAGGAGGCCGAGGCAGGAGGATTGCGAACCTCTTGGGAGGTTGAGGCAGGAGGATCACGAGTCCAAAGCCAACCTCAGCAATAGCGAGGCCCTGAGCCGCTCAGTGAGACCCTGTCTCTAAGTAAAATGCAAAACGGGGCCGGGGACAGCTGAGTGTCGCCTCCCGAGTTCAGTCCCCCCGTCGACAAACAGAAAAGCACAGCAGCCTCCCCCAGGCTTCAGGAGCTCAAGGTCCAAAACGGGAGGCCAGGGCTGGCCCCCCCGAGGCCCCGAGACGGCACAGCGTCCTCAGCCTCTCTCTGGCCCTCCTGCCCCCCTCATGTGGACCCTGTGGTGACACTGGGCCCCGACGACCAGGGTGACCCCACCTCAAAGCCAGCTGTTAGCAGCCCCATCTCACCAACTTGGCGCCCCTGGCTGAGCCGGGCCACACTCGCAGGCCCTGGGGACGGTCACAGACATCTTTGGGGCCACTCTTCTGCCCACCCCGTGGACATCCATGCCCCCTGCCCCACGCAGGCGATGTGGGTGGCCCTGGCGCCCGGAGCTCGGTGCCAGCCTGGAACCCAAGGACAGCCCTGGGACCGGGGTGGGAGGCTGGGAGGGCCCAGCTGGGCCACTGGGGTGGACATCCCTGACTGGACACTGTGACCTGCTCCGGCCCCTCAGCCTCTTCTGACCAGCCACTGCGCGCCCCTCGGACCCCAGCAGTCAGGCCCCGTGAAACATCTCATCACCATGTCACGCGTCAGGCGCAGGCCACGCTGCGGTGGCCACACTGCGGTCCCCGCGGCTCGGAGGCTGAGGCAGGAGGATGGCCAGTTCACGGCCAGCCTGGGCGACTCAGCGAGGTCCAACCTCAAAATAGAAATGGAAAGCACCTTGGCCTCCGAGCGCCCCGGGCCCGCTGGCCAGGCCTGGCCCTCGGGGGACGATGCCCTGGCCTGGGCCTCCAGCCCCAGGGGAGCACCTCCGGGCCTGGCCCTCGCCCAGATCCCAGCCAGGCGGGGACACTGGCCGGGACACCTGCCCCAGGGTCTGGAGGGGACACAGCAGGCGGCCTCGTCCCCCTGCCCTCTCCACCTGGGACAGCAGGACCACCGTAGCACCCAGCCTCGCGCAGCCTGCAGGCCGCGGTGCCCCCGGGGCTCTAGTCCTCGCCTCCCAGGTGCCGGCCGGGGACAGTGGAGCTGGACCCTGAGCCGGGAGGATGAAGCAGGCCGAGGCTGGGGAGGTGGCCTCCAGCTAGAAATGCCTCCACAGGCCGGGAGGGGGGTGCTCAGGTGACGGGGGCCATCCCCGACCTTCCCCAGGGACGGGCACCGTGCTCAGGCTGCACAGCAAGCACGTCCCTGCCCTGTGGGGACGCCGCCGGCAGGACCCGGGGTCCGGCCGGGGTGAGGCTTGGTGTGTGCTGGAGCAGATCCCTGGCTGCTGGCCCCTCGTTCTGACCACAGCTTCCCGTTGGTGGCTCCTGCATGTCCACATCTTCCAGAGATGGACGCAGAGACAGGAAGAGGGACGAGGAAATCTGCTCAGAACCCACATCTGGAGCAGAAGGTGGGAGCCAGCTCTTTGGTTGCTGCAGCACAGAGAGGGACGGCGGTGTGACATGGTCACACAGCTGGCAGAACAGAGCCGGCAGGGTCCTTGCTGGAGGCCGCGTTCCGGGACCCGGTGGGGGTGCCCCGGGGCGTCTCCCATCTCACAGGGGTCCCCACTGCCACCCAGCACGGCCCTCAGACCTCAGCCCGTCCTTCCTCCTCCCGCTCCGCGGGCAGCCGGGGCCTGCTTCCCCCGCACCGTCCCGCAGGCCAGGGGAGGAGGCCGCGGCTGGGGAAGTGATGCCACGGTCCGGCCCCACCCCGGCGGCCTGCGGTCTAACCGTGGCCCAGTGCTTCCTGAACCCTCCCGGGAGGGAGGCCCTGGCCGCTGGGATCCTGGCCCCGGGTGGTCCCCGAGGCCACGCCAGTCCTGAAGGTAGGGGTCCTCGGGGCGGGAGGAAGCAGCAACTCTTCCAGGTTGGGGGTAGGGGTGGCCAGAAAGGGCAAGGACTCACTGAGTGTCACACAGCAGTCAAGGCTGGCGGGAGCCGGAGAGAGCAGCTCTGCTCAGAGCCCCCCCCCGACGTGTGTGGTCCCCTGCAAGTGCCACCGTCCTTCCCGCAGCACCATGAGCGGCCCTGAGCCAGGCGCCGAGAACCCGGAGTCCGCCCACCTGCCCTGGTCAGCTCAGCCCATCTATGGCAACCTCGGTGAGCAGCCAGCTCCGGGGCCCTGTCCTGGGGGAGACAGGGGACCACAGGGCAGCAGACTGTAAAGATGGCCACCAGCCCAGAGCCATGTGGGAAAATGGGGGTCTCCGGTGTTGGAGTCTCTAAGACGGACCCCCCTCCTCTGAGCCCAGGCTTGTCTCCTGCAGAGTGGGGGTGGCAGCCCGCCCCACAGGACCAGAGGTGGCTGGTGTTTCCATTTTAACCAGGCGGCGGCCACAGCTGTCATCCCAGCAGCTCTGGAGGCTGAGGCAGGAGGGCCAGAGTTCGAGGCCAGCCTCCGCTACTTAGCAAGATCTTGTCTCCAGATAAAATCAAAGGGCTGGGGTGCGGCTCTTGGAGGGCGCTCTGTTCCTGACCCTCAAAAAGCAAACCAACCGACCCACGTTTCACTTCAGAGACAGGGAGACGCAGGGGGGTGCCAGGGCCCACATCCTGCATGTCCTCAACCGGCCCCTCTCTCCCGACAGGGGAGGTGCGTGCCCACCTGCTGCCCTCTAAGGCCTGCCGCCCCCGGACTCCCAGGTCCCTCTCCTCT